AAACAGTTTTAAGTCTTATAAATAAATTTGGAATGAGTAAAGGATAGGTAAGAAATATGAGTTTGATTTTATTTTTCATTCCATTTCACAATGCAAAATTTCAGGAAAATGGATAACTGATCAAAAGAGAGTAGGTTTTTCTTCATGACTCTAATCAAGTCACCGGACGTTATTCTCACTTATCAAAGATCCTTGTCTGACCTGTAAATGTCTGTGGGAGCTGCAGCGGGGAAGACACTGCCATGTCCTTGAGCGGAATTCAATGGCCTCTGTACAAATCAACAAAGACACAAAAGCACTAATTCTGGACATTGCTAAGCTGAGAAGTAAAGTAACCTTTAAAAAAAATGGCCAATAAAAACCCACTGCAATACTGTACTTTGTGCATCTAGTTTTTATTGAAAATATTTTATGAAATTAGAAATACTTCATTTTATGTATATTAAAAATATATTTCATGGTGTAGCTGGTGTCACCTAGCTCCTCCTATAGTGATTTCTTTTGTTCCTCTTTCTTTGGTTACCAGCGGTAATATTACAAATAAACAAACTCATTAGAAATTACAGTGTTGTCACAGATATTTGAAAGACAAATGTGGGAAACTGTGTTTTCTCCTTTGCAGAGTCCAAAAAATGTTTATAAAGTTAACCATCACAAAACAATTCTGGGGAAAAAATATAAAAGAAGATCTAAATTTTCTATTTGTTTACTTGACTTGTATTTATAAGTGTTTCCAACCCAGTCCTCACTTTCAGCTTCAGACCTGCATTTCCAACTCACTCTTCTTAGCCGTGTGCACTTTAGACGGTCCGCAGGCAAGTCGAAGGCAGCGCGTTCAAAACTGCACTCAGCCTGCCTCCCAGCGGTCCCTCGGCGGCGCCCCTCCCCTTCCTAGCCCAGGCTCTCTCAGTGGCCGGCTGGCTTTGCCCATCTTCCCTCTGCACCGACCATCTCCTGCGGTCCCACCTGCCTGGCTTCCTCCGGCCACCCCCATTGCCTCTGTCCAGGCAAAGCCACCCTCTCCTCCCACCTGAGTTACTGCAGTGGGTATCCTTGGCCCATCTTCTCCAGTCCATTTCCACTAATGATGCTTCTAAAAGAGAAATCTGACTGCATCTAAAGCCTCCAGTGGCTGCTCTTGGCAATGCCTACTTTTTAGCCTTATTTCTGGACACCTTTCTGTTCTAGGAAAAGTTCATTCTCCTATGAGGAATTGAATATGATACTTCTCTGCTTGGTATTCTCACTCACCTGGACTCCCATGCACATTTCATGTTTCAACTTATACAACATTTCTTTAGGGAAACCTCCCTATCCGCTCTTAGCCTCAATTAGGGGTTATTCCTGGGTGCTATTACAAAGATGTGCTTTTACCCCGTCTTAGCACTTTTCATCTTGCATTGCAAACATCTGCTAATTTGACGGTGTCCTTCGCTAGTCTGAAGTGCTAGAAGGTAGAAGCAATCTTTATGTTGTTCACCATTGTGTGGGCACAGAGCCTGGCACATAATAGATAATTAGTGAGTATTGTATGAACGGGTAAAAAGTAATCGGTAAACAAAAATTCTACTCTTTCTGATGGACCTCTTCTTTTGTCTTTTTGTTAGTTGTATATCAGATCACTTAAATGTGCTTAAAAAATACAGAAGTTACCTTAAGTGAATCTTTACTTTTTCCTCATAGAACACTCAAGGGCTGTGTACTGACAGGCAGGTTAAGTTAAGAGGTGCTGACACCGAATGGATCAAGATGTTAACTCATTAGGCCATTTCTGTTCTTTAATAACAGCGAATGAATAAGTGGCGTGACCACCGCTCTTCTCAAGTGTGATGGATTTTTCCCAGGGGTTTCTTTTTACATAAGGGAAGTCTAGTGCTTTCTCCAGACTATATGTATAGAAAGTGAAGGATGCTTTACATTTTTTATAATAATTGGGCAAAGATTAAAAAAGGATTGCTGGTCAAGCCTTCAAATTCTTAGCAAATAATGAATGGGAAATTGGCTGACTTGGGGAAGGATTTCACAAGGCCGAGTCCAGGTACACCTCTCTCACTCCTTGTCCAGGAACTGCTGGGACTGCTGCAGCCGAGTCGGAAGTCACAGTCTGACAGATCAAGTTGGAGGCGAGCGTTCCTTTACTGTTTTGCATTTGTGTGTCGGCCCAGTGTTTTAAGACAGCCCTTGCACGGTGCACAGCTGTGCCCAGCAGGGGACACCTGCCTGCGCTGATGACAACAGCAGCACAAGGAGTTCTTCTGCGACCCACCTAGTTCTTTTACACTGATTAAATATTTAAGAACAGATGGTTCCGGATTTAAGGACACCAGACACCGTAAAACATGCCAATCTAAATAAACAGATATTTAAAATGTCAAACATCTCCAAGACTTTAGGCTAATCATTTACTATTAGAATAATAAAAATAAGCTAATCTTCTAAACGGAAACTGAATTCAGTTATTTTTTTTTTCAAGCTTTATACCCAAAGGACACAACGGACAGTACGTGGGGCCCAAGAAAAGCAGATTCCAGAAGAAAGCACTCGAAACGGGCCTTCCGAGAGTGCTACCAGGGTCCAATGTCTGGACAGAGCAAATGAGTGTTTGGTGCCTGCGGGGAAACCTGTACTTCTTTCACTCTTCCTAGAAGACACGAAGGACGACTAAGAATTTTCACTACTTGGAGCCATTTCCTACTGTGTGGAGTCTGCCCGTCCCTACACAACCCCTCCAGCCCGGCCGCAACCTGCCACAGCCTGCACAGGGCGCGGCATGCCCCTGCACTGGCCCTGACAGTCAGCATTTCCATACTGCTCTGTTTGTCGCATATAAAAAATGAGTATACAGGTATGTTTTAATATTTGATTCCAAATGATCTGTAGAAAAGTGTACTGAACAAAACATGGTTCTTTTCTTGAAGAACTTACTAATCACTAAGGCATTGTCAGGACATTGGAAGTGAAGAAGCTTGAGAGATGGTCTTTACTCTTGCTCTCTGGAAGAGGACTTATCTCAGGTCATTACGCGATTCAGCATTACCATGAGGCTCACCTCAGCAAGAAGAAGAGTGGATGAGATTAGACCTCAGAACTGGAGACAGTTGTCTCTAGAGAACATGCTTTTCAGATTTGCCTGATGCCAATTCTTACTAAAATCTTAAAATACTCTTATAGGATAAATAGCCAGCACATTTTATCTGTGTTTCAGAAAATGCACAAGTTGGCTGTAGGCTGCCAAAAGTAAGTTCTTTGCTCATTTAGTTTCCTTTATGCCACACGTTTTCTTTGGCAGCCCGGCTGTGTCCCTGAGTGCAAGGCCTTGTGTGTCCTCCTCTGGAACCTGCACACGTTGCAGAGTATGCTGTGGTTTGAAGCAGTGGTTCTTCCACCTTCTTGTTTTTAAATGTGGCCTACTTCAGGGATGTGACATAGAGGGAAACCAAGGGTTCTGATCCAGCTACATGATTCTTTCCTCTTTTTCAATTGAAAAAGAACCCGGTGACAACAAAGAAGAAAATAATTAATTTACAGTTTGAATTTATACACATGTTGTGCTACAAAGCAATGCCCTGTAAGCCAAAAATTAATACATTAATTGTATCACACTTTTATTGATAATATGTTGTCACTTAATCTGCACAAATTCAGTTAGAACGCCTTACCACTGAGGCTTCGTGTCATTGGCCATTTGGGAGAGGTGGGCTGAGGTGAGAGTGCAGGGATTGTACATATCTTCTTTAGCATTTAGTGACATGGATGATTCCTATTTGAGCCTTAATATGTGTATATCTTAATAACTAGTTATTTGAAAGATATAAACCAAAAATACTACCCATCAACCAAACATCCAAGTAATTTTTTTAACCTAATAACACTCAATAAATAAACTAGTAATCCTCAATACATTAAGATGAAAATGTCATAGCTAAGCTAACAATAATTTATAATTACAAAGCAAAACTAAAAGAAAAGGCAACAGCTGAAAACTAAAAATCAACTCGCACACATGCTGCAGTCCTGAGAACAAAGCACACCGATTGTTTCTGTCTGGAGCAGCAGCCTTCTAGCATTGCCAAACTCTGTGTGAGATAGACTACTCACAGGACATCTGCCTCTGAAATTCTGACCATGCGCTGAGTTTAGTGTATGGACCTCAAATATTAATAATCTATACAAACTCACCTTCTATCTAGTAACAAATCTTTAGCCCTCCTTGAAAGTGAATGTATACAGAAATGTACACCATTGTCTGTAAATGGCAGGAAGAACATGTGCTTTGGGATGAGCTGGAGGCCCAGGAAGAGGCCCTTCTAGAAACACCCAGGGGTGTGGACCGTTCTGGGAAACTCAAGTGTCATGTCCGGAGGACAGCATCAGCCTCTTGTGCCATGAGTAGGAGGGATGGGAACCTCTAGGAACTAGAACATTCCTGATGGAGTGTAGTTGGCCATCCTGTGAGCCGTGGGTGCTGAGTGGCCCCGGTCTTGCATGGGCGAGGAGCAAGATGGCCTCCCAGGTGCCGGCTGCCCTGCGGTTGCCGCCTATGACTGATGAGGCAGTGTCTCTGCTCAGAGTTTTAGCTCTAAGTTTTATTTCGAAGGTTGTACTCTGGATGTTCTGAGACAGATATGACTTGTTAGCTTTTGGATTGTGTCTCTGAACTGTTACTCTGATGCCATTGTGAGTGCCTTGTTTTTATATCAATTGTAAATTGGGAGTGGGTTTTAATAGAGTTTGTAAGAAGTAAATGCTGTTATCAAATCCTTGCTGAGTGACTATTCATTCTCAGTCAGTACTCCACAAGGCTCTTCAAGGAGGCACTTGACAAAGATATTTTAGATTTTAGTTTTCTAAGAGTATCAAAATCTGGTCAAAGAGCTTGATAGCTCGGTTGTGGGACTCCTGTCAAGGTATCCATAGTATCTTAAAGATCAACTCATGTGCTCGAACAACTGTCAAATGTGTCCTCTCCCATATTATTATAAACCTTTTAATACTTTTCATTGTTTCTCAGGAAACAAGTATGTTTGGCTTCAAAGATTTGGCACCAACACCGTCTCATTTATCTTAACAGAGGTGGTGAGGAACAGGCTGCTTCATGAGGACCTCTGTGGCTTTCTGCATTCCCTCTTCTCCAAGAGAGAGCGAGCACCCGGTGCAGCAGCAGGAGGGAGGGAGAGGTGTCCCGAGGTGACCTGCTTCCTACAGAACCCAAAGGGCTCCCATCCTCCAGGATCGCGATTGAATTTTTAACATAGACTCTGAGTTCGTCTTGATCTACGAGGCAATGTCTAAATTTAAAGATATTCAAAATCTATGCAGTTGAATCTGTGAAATTCCACGCAAAAAGTGTTCAGAAAGAGCTTCATTAAGGTGAAAAAGTGGGGAGTTTCGGAAATACTCAAGTAAAACCTGTTTAATTTATATAAACCCCCAGTGAGAAAAAGCACTAAGAATGGAAGTTTAGAAATAAAAATTTTCCACATTATTCCACAGGCTCTGCTTCCTCACTGAGTGTTGCTTGTTGCTTTATAAATGCTGTTTCCTCCAGCTGGCACGCTGCACAGGATCCACTCAGATGGATTTCATGGGACATTGAGCAATTCCGGTACCTTTCTCAATCAAAACTAAAGGTTATATTATTCTCTCCACCTTTTCTCTTTCCTTTCTAGTGGCTAAGAAAGAAGTTTTTGATATTGTTGTTAATGTTTCGGAAAACCACAGTCACTAATCATTTTCCTAAGTGAGGCATGCCTTTCGACCTTCACAGCGTCCTTGAAGGTAGGCTCTTTTAGGTGTAAAGACTATTTCATAAGGTGTGAAGCCTTGGTCTCCCAGCGGCTGGCTCTCGGGCCGTCCGCCCTGAGCGTGCTCCGCGGCGGGCGCGTGCTCTGCGCAGAGGCGGCAGCCTGGCCAGCCTGGGCGCGGGCGGCGTGGGGACTGGCGTGTAGGAAATGCCCGGGACTTCCATCAGCAGATCAAAATTGGTCAGTTGGCAACTAAAGGTCCAATCAATAAGGATTCTTTTGTGTGGGTACAGAAAGTCTTTCACCAATTTTAATAAAAACTATGAAACATGATTGTAAAGAGGCACCAGGGAAAACCCTATGACCTCCTTGGAACATATGAGAAGGACTCTCAAGGTGGCCCTGGAGGTCAGAGAGGGAGTGGAGTTCTGGGCACTGGTCTCTCCAGTAAGAGCAGTGCTACCTGTTCCCAGCGGGGTCTCGGAAGGAAGGCAGAGACCCCAGCAAGGCTTGAGACTAGGCATTTATTGGCCAGCACAGAGCTCAGCTGGCCTCGCACAGCTAGCAGCTTTTAACCCGTGTGGTAGAGAAAGGGTAGGTCATTAATAAAATAATCTTCCGTGTGGGGAATGGAACTGGTAAAATAAGCGGAGAGAGGAGAAGCATATGTCAAGGACATATTAAAATGTAATGCCCAATAACATGGCATAATGGAGACTTCCGGACAATCCCAAGGGCAAACAGGTCAACCTGGCACTCAGCAAGCAAAAGCAGAGGGACTCTGTCTGACCAAAGACCTGGGCGGATGTCAGAGGAAGAGGCGTGAGTGCAAACAGCCCCAGGCTCTGTCAACATCACCTGCACCCACAGACTGAAAAGATGGGCTTTACCCATACCTTTGTATGGGTAAAGACACCTGTACAACCTGTGGGAGAGACACCTGTACAATGAGATTACTGTCACAGCACTGTTGCTGTCAACAAGTCCTCAGAGGACAAGCACAAATCAACAGCACACCTTGGGAGACAGCCTTAGGGAGGGGCAGGTTTACCTGAATTGCCTTCTTGCAATACAGAGCTGCTGGGCAGGTCATCATTCTCAGCATGTAAGCTGGTGTGTTTCTGGATTCGGGGCATTCCTTAAGCAGCATTGAGGAGGCACTGGTTCCTCTTCTCCCTGGAAATCTTGCCTTACGGCCTGGAACCATGAGAAGGTACCCAGCCTGCAACGCAGACATAGTTGAACCCTAAAGCTAGGTGTCACTCTCTGTGCCCCAGGGGTCTGACAAGCTTGGGCCCAGCCTCTCACCTGCAGCAACAGCCCTTCATGCTTGAGGGCCGTTCTGTTAGCTTAGAGCCCTCAGCCTGCAGAGGACTGTGCTCTGGCACCGAGCATGTGGCCTTCGTCCTTCCTCCGGTGCAGCGTCCTCAGATGCTGCCCAGGGCCCCTCGCTGCCTGCGCGGTGCTGCTATGCCAGCTCACCAGCCAGGCTCCTGGTCGCTCTGTGTGGAATGGCCCTCAGCTTCTCCCAGGGTCCCGACGCCTTGCACATTCTGGTTTTCTTTTTTAGCCCTTTTCGCCATCTGATATTTTACACATTTACTAGTTCACTTGCTTATTGTCTTTTTGGCCTCACTAGAATGCATGCTCCTCGAGGGCAGGGCACATCCCACGGTGGGTGTCCTGCACATATTTGAGAAATGAATGAACGAGGCCTGAAGTAAAGCTTTTGGTTACTGGCTTGTCTTTACATATTAATTTCTTTAATTTTCCCCTTTACTGTCCCTTGATTTAACTTTCTGAGCCAACAGAGCTTGTGAGATATTTATAGCTATCTTCATAATTCAAAGATTCCCAGTTGACTGGATTTTAAATCAATCCTTTATTCCACGGTTTCTGGGTACCACCTTGTATCTCAGAGTTTTTGTAGAAGTGACAGTCATGCTGCCATGGAGGAAATAGTCACTCACTAGGAATGGGGTCAGTGGGCCCAAGGACCACCTAAGATGGGTACTTGACCTCCCAAGCTCCCTTTTCTGTGTAACTCTGAGTTCCGGATGCCAGAGACAGTAGATTCTGAGCTGGGCTCTAAGACTTCCTGCAGGGTGCCTGGGCAAACTCAGCATCAGCATCGGTGAAGTGGAGATAAACTCATGAAGTCCACAAAAGCCTGGTTGTTCAATCCCAGATTGGGATCCATGTTAAAGATCCCTAGAGTACTTAGAATGGACTCACGAAATCCTTAGAAAGATGAGTTCTCCAATTTCTTACCAATTTTGGATTAAAGCAGGGAGCTGAGATGACTTTTCAGATTTCCTGGAAAAGAGGCTATCCCTGAGAAGTGTTCCTCCATCAACCCCAGGATGCCTCATAAAAGTCACGACACCTTCTACTGTTGGCAACCTAGCCTCAGTCAGTGGCAGCCTGGAGCCTGTTCATACAGAGTTGTGAAAGCTAGTTGCTAAAATTTCAGAAAAGTTGAGAGCTGGTTGACTGAACATGGGTAGCTGAAGAAGGACCCTGGTGGGAGAGAGTAGGTAAACCACTGAAACGGGCAAACACTATCAAGCCCCCTGCACCCAAGAGCTGGTTGTTAAGCATTTACCAGCACCCACTGGCCCTTAGGTGTCCCTCACCACTACTGTGAGCTCCAGTGTGTGTGCATGCGTGCGTGGATGTATGCAGTGCGTGTGTTATGGGGATGGGAGAGGTAAAAAGGATGTTTGAAAAAGGATTAGCCAGGCTGGACCAGAGGGCAAGGGAAGATGGGAAGTGAGTCCAAAAGTTAATGAGACATTTTTATATTAAAATATACTTATATTTAAATAATCCTTGGTATAAATGTCACTAGTTTAAGAGTATATTATTTAAAATAATGTTATAAATATTATCTATGACATTGATAAAAGGAAGAGATGATGACATATGACACGTATATTTGGAAAGTGACATGAAATGTAGAAACTCACATTTTTGTAAAAACAACCCCCCCAAATCCCAACCTAGAAGAAATAACATGTATATATTATGCATATGTATATATATACATATGTGCTTTTCTACTTCACACAGTATAGAAATTGCATGTTGTTAACATAGGGAATGAGAAAGTAGGAAGGAAAAGAAAGAATTTTTTTAATCTATATGCCTTTATATTATTTATGTTTTGGCCAAATATTCATTAGTTATATCTTGTGGTTGCAGAGCAAATATGAACAAAATGGTTTTAAAGAATGACTTGTTTAAAAATGTAACATAAATGAAATGTAGATGTACACAAAAAGTTCTGAGAGAAATTGTCTTCATTTAGTCTCACATAAAATTCATAGCATTATCTGCTCAAAATAATAATATTTAAAAATAAAACAAATCAGTGGAAATATAAAGATTAAATGTTAAGGTTAAGCTTAAAACATTAGAGAGGTGTGTGCGTACGCGCGTGTGTGTGCTTTAAAATACTTTGAAAACAAACAAGGATAAAGGCATCCCAGAAAGCGGAGACTAAGGCCGCCTGTCCAAGTACAAACACGTCGGAGACAATGGACTATTCATTCGTGTAGAGGAGCAGCAGCCTGAACGTCCTTCTGCCTGCTCAAAGCATACACCAGTGACTCTAGCCTTGGCCCAGCTGTTAAACGTCCCTTTACATTGTTTCATGGGGATTAAGGTGGGGATTCAAGGAAAAAGAAAACATTGTGGAAGGATCTCAGAAGCTATGATGCAATGTATATAACATACATTTTAGAAGTAAAGACATCTAAAAAGAAACAGCTGTCAGAAGGCCTGGCTCCCATGCTAAATTTCATCGTGGTATTAAATGTTTACCAAGATGTAAGCTTCTTTCATTTCAGATCTTTAAAGGCACATGATAGAAGTGACCACCCAGAGTCAATAAAAGAGAACATACATTATCATATCACCAACTCCACCATGCCAGATAAAGGCAGCCTCCCTACAACCTCAAATATTCCCGTGGAAAAAAACACAGCTTGTTTACCCTACCCGAGAACCACCTGTATTTGTGTGGCAACCTGACCAGAAAGATAATGAGAGTCCAGGGCTAGGAACCTAAAGCAGGGTCTGTTGACATAATTAGGTGGTGACTATTCAACTCTCAAAGTTCTTCTGGGGACAAGAAAAAATAGGCATCTCTTAAAGGAAAGACATTGCTAGTTTGCTTCCTAGTAGTTGCTTAGTTTGTGCTCCCCCTGCTTTCAATAGCTACTTTATTTAGGGACAATATAGAATCTTTACCTGGGACCATGGGCTTAGGCATTTCTGAAAAGTGGCACTGAGATTGAGATGGGTAGACATGCATGAAACACTTTACAAACCAAACCATGACTTGAAGATCCATTTCAACAGCTAATAACCTTATTGGAAATTCCCAGAACGGCCAGATTTTCTTCTTCTGTTATGAATCCATATCTCAGGATACCCTATGGCATTTGTTGTCTTTCCTCAAATGACAGAAAGCAAGAAGATGACATGAAAGTCCCAGCATTTGAGTTGGTTTCTGAAGAAACCTCCAACTCGAGTTGGTTTCTGAAGAAACCTCCAATGGCTGTAGCCAGCTATGAAATGTATGACATATCTGTTTGGCTTTTCCTTTCCAACCTTTTCCTCTGGCTAACATCCCGGCTCTGTCACCTGTCCTGCCTGGTCACTCCCATTCTCAGCCCCATCTACACTTGGACAATTTCTTCCCATAATTTAATTCTCAGCTTAGGTACTCCTGAATCCATGAAGGCTTCCCTGACCAATTCTCCACCTCTAGCCTGGGTTAGGGATGGTTCCTTGGAGTTCCCATAGAAATTTCTGACAACTGCTGTCATTCCACTTGTCATAATGTGCTCCATGACCTATGTATGGGCTAATCTCTTCATTGTAACGATGGTTCCCAACTTCATTGTACACTGGAATGATCTGAGGAAATTTTAAAAATCGTCATGTCTTGCCTACACTTCAGATCAATGAAATCGGTATCTCTGGGGGTGGAACTCAGGATTCAGTATTTGTTGAAGCTTCCTAGTTGATTTTAACGTGTAGCCAAAGTTGAGAACCACTGCATTAGATGGCAAAGCCCTACAGAGTCCGTCTTTAGTATATCAATCCAATGTACAAACCTGCCTGATGTTAAAATTTTGCTAAAATAATGAATTAATACAATTCAAATGAGAGTATTTTAGACTCTTATCAAGTGATATTAAGGGGTAGTAAGTTGTTTATTCCAGAGTGCAAGTAGGTTAAGAGTAAAAAATATACAAATATATTTATTAAAAAATCACTAAGTCTATCACTTGGCTCATGCATTGATAAAAAAAGAAAAAGAATTAATAAAAAAAAAAATTCTAAAAATCATTAAGCCTATTGATTTTATAGCCATGATAAGGAAGGAAGCCATTGTGTTTTTTTCATAAATCGTACTCTGAAGACTCTTTTGACAGTATTTAGTATTATTTTTATGGATATTTTATAAGGCAAGATGACAAACTTTGAAGAACTGTGGATGTATACAAACACTTCTACAATGTTATGGCTCAGGAAATTTTTACAAATAAGGACTAGATGCAATGTTTCTCAAAGTGTAGTTCACAGGCCAGCAGGATCCAAATAAAAATATATTTTCATATTTAGAATTTTATGAAATCTAAATATGCTTTTAGATTCTTTGGGGGAAAATTCAGAAATCTACTTGCATTTTTTTCGCTTTTTTATTGAGATATAATATTTGCTCTTTTGAAGTGTACAATTAAGCAATTTTTAGTATATTGCCAAAGTTGCACAATTATTACTACTATCTGATTCTAGGACATTTTCATAAACACAAAAAGAAACCCACATCTATTCGTAGTCACTCCCCATCCACTTCACCTCTGAAGGCCAATGGCAACCAGTAACCTAATTTCTAGCTTTATGGATTTACTGATTCTGGACATTTCATATCAATAAAATCACAGTATATGATTTTTTTGTTTTTGTCTTCTTTTATTTAACATAGCATTTTCAATGTTCATTCAGGTTGTAGCATGAATCAGAATTCTTTTTTGTGGACGAATAATATTCCATTTGGCTGGATATTTCACATTTTGTTTATATATTTATCAGTTGCTTAATATTTGAGTTGTTACCGGGTTTTGGCTATTGTGAATAATGCTGCAATTAATATTTTTGTGCAAGTTATTGTGTGGATGTGTTTTAAATCTTTGGGGCATATAGCTG